CGGTCCTCATTCGAGTGTCAATTGAACGGCTGAACGGCTGAAACCACTCCTGGCCAGGGATTAAACGTATTTATTGTGGTGGTATAGATTGGTCCAACCACGATCCAATCAAAGGCTGCTGCGATCTCTCATTACGATTCACACTCAATTATGTCGTCGTAATTTCCTGCTCAACTCAAGCCACACAAGCCACACAAGCCACACAACCGCAGCGACAGTACAATTATAAGATGCTTATCCCCGCGATGCTTTTTAACCATATTCGGGCTGGATCACATAACTCGTAATAAATCTTTGAGTTTTGCCCCGACTTGTCGTCAAATTATGCAAATATCCAGTGAGTGTGTGTGTGTGTGTGTGTGGGGGTCCCATATCTTTGGAGAGACAGAGAGGTAGAGATTTGGGTCATCGATGGATGTATCGATAGCATCAACAGCAACATCAACATCCACGCCACTCCACCTCCACCCATGAAGATAGTGTTGAAATGAGATGCATGCGGCAACTACACTACTCACATTTCTCATTACATTAATCACACCCACATACGAAAAACAAAACTGCAGCAGCAGCAACGGCAACAGCAACATCAACGGCAACAAGGCCCTGGGAAACAATGGAATAACTGGCAAACGGCGCAGATGCAGATGCATCCGACAGCCAACCTCTTGTTTGACTTTGCCCAACACTTTGGGGCACAAAGGCATATGCATATGCACTGGGGGGCCCGCCATTCTAACGTAAACAGAAAGACAGACAGAAAGCAGAGAGACACGCCACGCCTATTTGGGTTATGTTGCCGGATCTTTGTTTCAACTCTCGCAAAATGGGCTGCCTTGCTGCACACTCACTTACAGTGTGTTGCACGAACGAGGGCCCTTTGGCAAGCAAACACAAGCATTTAAGGGAGCCGGAGGGACTGGGGGGGGCGGGAACGTGTCCACCGAAGCGTGGAGTGCACTAAGCGCGGATTTATAACGGAAGCTTAGCCCGTTCTTTCGCTCATGAATAAATTAACAAAAACAGAAACTGGAACAGAAACTAGAACTTGCCACGGGGGCCGAGCCAGCAAATACCCTTGTACGCTACGCTACGCTTTTTATCTATGTAGCGAAGCCATATGGATATGGTAGTTGAATGTTGATTAAATCTAAGAGATTTGAATTCGATTTTCTGAGTTTTTTCATTGGATTATCTCTAAGAGTACTCGAGATATGATGCATCAAGCTATTGAGCTTTTATTGCTGCTACTTGTCTTAGTCTATAATTCTATTTCTATTAGGTGTCCATTGATTGCAATTCAAGTTATGAAATTACACAGGGCTGTAATACCCTCTCTAAGAGTATGCAAAATGTATGCATGTTTCTCACTGTACTTTACTGTACTTTACTCTCCGTTGCATACCACTTTAGCGATTAATCGATCTTTGGGCACATAAATTATGCAATCCACAAGCGTAAATGGGCCCCAGCCCTGCACTGAACCCCAGACAGTAGCCTGATCCCCGGATGGGGGTCTAGTCGACTTCTAAGAATTGAAACAAAAACCAACAACAACACCCGCAGCAGCGCGCTGCTGCCCCGAGGAGGCTGCAACTCCATCTGCGTGTGGTCAAACATAGTCGCAGTCCATGCCACACAGTCCACGCCTACGTCCATGTCACTGGAGCACCCACAAAACAGAGCGGAGCAGCGACCGGACTCTGACAGTTGGACATTTGGCCAGTTGGACAGTTTGGGCGTTTCATTTCATTTCATTTCAGCTCCAACTTCGATTTTCAATATTCATGACAGGAAGGGGGGCGGACGAATGGGTGGTGGTGGCGGGGTTAGGGGATGTGTCGTGGGAGGAAAAACCTTGTTCGAATGCCAGTCCGAAAATTATGGCAATTATTGCATAGAACTGTAAATTATTTGCACCGTCGCGACCTCATTGTGAGCTGCTGCTGCTGCAACACAGCTCGTGTGTGTGTGTGTGTTGTGTGTTTGTAAATATTCCCACATGCCACACGCTGCCATGTAATTCGATGAATTTTATGCAAATGGAGCATTTTGTGGGGGGGCTAACCTTAAGTGCCTACATACTGATCAATAAGTGGTGGGATGCTTTTGCCTCCCACTTATCAGTGGTAAAGCATCATCTGCTTGGACTGCGGCTTAAGGTCTGGCCGTCTTCTTATCTGCGAGACATTCCGAGACTAAACTGCAGTTATGCGTGGGTGCTTATCGGTGCGAACAGCCAGAGCCACAGCCCCAGCCCCAGTCACAGCCCTCAATTATGCCAGAAGCCAGCGCAAAGCGTTCTCGTAATTATGCCTCACAAATCGCTCTTAAGAGGTTTTGCCTTTGCCTCTGCCCGGCAGCAAAGCTACTTATGGGGGGGCTTATTTGTAGGTCGTATATAACGAAATCCCTCTCTGCCTGGGGCCTGCCTTTTATTTTATTTGCTTTTTATACGCATTTGTGCAATATTTATTTTTATGCCAACTGCAATGGCGATTGATAAGAGCCTGCCTGGACCGCCGATGGATGGTCGCTGGACAGTGGAGAATGGTGCGAATGGAATGGAAGAGAATGGAATGGGAAGAGCGAAAAGAACAGAGCAGAGCAGGAAGGAGACAGCGACACCAACGACAGCGGAAATTTATGGTCGTCGCATAAAAAAGCATAATCAGTAAACGAATGCGCCGCAAAAGCAGCAAAAGAGAAGCAAAGTCGCAGCATTAGATGCCCTAACAAATGAATATTCTGAATTTTTCCTATATTCGAAGGAATATTTATGGAAATTTATTGCTAAAATATATGATTATATTTCAATATACGATATTAAAGTAAAAATCGGAAAATTAGGAACCAGATGAAGACACAGATATGTGCCTGTGGATAGTTAACTTCTGCATAAACTGATAATGCTTCACTTAAGGGTATAGAAAAAAGGAAGCAAAAGCCAGAAGCAGTAGCGCGGTGGGGAATGAGGGATTAACCGAATGACCGAGCGGTGTCCACTGGAAGGGGAATCGTTATTGGAGCGACTGACTCCGTCCCCTCCATCCATCCATCTGTCTCGTCTCTCTTCGCCACGCCTGTGACGAATGTGCAATACTCAGCACTGGCGCTATCAGTGCCCACAAATACATGCACAAGTCGATATGTGTGTGTGCTCAACATGTGACGATTTGTGGCCAACGGAAATAAAGTTGATGAAAATGCAAAATCCAAATATAATTTGTGCGTAACCCTAACGAGTGGCGGATAGAACGATGACTCAGAGGGACGCAATTTGTGTGCCTTAATTGCAGCAGAATTTGCACTTTGCACCTTGGCGTCAGCGTCAGCGTCACCGCCGCCTCAGAGCGCCTAGTACTTCGCTGTCAATTGATAGGAGTGCAGGAAGAGGAACGGAGCGGAGCGGAGGGAGCTGTGTGCCATGCAATGGCGTGGCCGTTAATTAAAGCCCTGTAATGTCATTAGTTGGCCTTTTGACTTGCCAATGATGGGCCGACAGCGACAGCGACTGCGACTGCGACTGCGATGTCTGGCTAATTAAGTTTGCATCTAACGTAATCGAAGGAGGAGGAGGAAGAGTCCGGAGACTTCATCTCCATCTCTGAAGACCGGGAGTCTGTGTCGGTGTCTGTGTCTGTGTCTTTGTTGGCTGATGTCTGATTCACATGCGATGTGCGATGCTTGGCGTGGCTTGGCATGGCTTGGCGTCTCTCTCTCTTAATTACCAGCTGCCATTTGCCGAGCTTGATAACAGTTAAATTGATTTTGATTGCTTTATTTGATGCCTATAAATCAAAGCGGAATGAGAATTTTATTTGCCTAGGAAAATGCTAGGCCTCAAACGTGGGCCGTGAATCAACAAAAAAAAAAAGAACTCAAACTCAGAGTCAGAGTCAGAACTCGAACTCGGACTCGGACTGTGGCTCGCAAAGTGATATGCAATGATAGACACCGATATCGAAGTCGAATCCAATGCAATTCAAAGCACTGCCCACTTGTCCGATGTCAACGTCATAGACAGAGAGAGACATAGAGACGGGGGTCTAGTGACGTGCAAGGGGGGTCTGGTCTGTGGTCTGTGGTCTGGTCTCCACTTCAAACACGAAACGAAACATTTTGTGCGATTAGCTTGTAAGATTGTTTTTAGCTCTTTGTGTCCATTTATTTGACTCCAGTTTTGTGCCGCACACCGCCGCACACCATGGAGTCTAAGACACAACTCTGTGAAAAACTGGATTCCAAGTGCCAACAGGGGGATCGAAGTAAAGAGAGTGAGAGAGGGGGGGTCGAGTCGGAGTCCCAAGGTAGATGTGAACGTAGACAAGCTGGCAAGTCGCAGCTCTTTGGGGCACTCTTGCTGCTGCTGCTGCTGCTGCTGTTGGCTGTTTGCTGGTGTTTTGGCTGGCGTTTGCCCACTCGAATGCCTTCAAGTGGCAATTTTATCGAATTATTTGCACTTAGCTTGCAAATTCAATTGGAAATAACGAGGCGAATTTTCGTTTGTTAGCAGCCCATGTGATCCGAGATCCCCTGAGCAGGCCAGGCCAGGCCAGGCCGCTCGAGGACACTATTCCTATTACTATTCCCCCCGGAGGCACCAGCACCACACCAGCACCAGCAGGTGATCCGAACCACTTACCCGTGCACCCATAAACAGTTCAAATTGATATCTCTTTTCCACTGTTCGGACTCTATTTGGGTCTCTACCGGCCACTTGCAACCCCCTTACCATTCCGCTCGATTATTTTCAGTGTTGTGCAATGTTGTCCAGTGTTTGGTTCGTTCGATAAGCGATTGCACGCTGCTGCTGAACGGAATTCTGACACTTCTTTGTGGGGCCAATGGTGGGGGAATGTACCGGACAGAGCGATATGGAAAACGACTTTTGTAATTCGTTTGTCGGCTCTGTTGTTGCAACATTCCCACGTTCGAAGACTGAAGCGGCGACATTTAACTGAAACTCTTTCTTTTCTTTCCTTTGCGTTCCTTTGCAGGCAGAACGAGAAGGACTGCGATGAGGATGACAAGGACGATGTGCACGACATTATGCCGCCCACCAATTTCATACAAATCTCGCAAGGCAGAATCCAATTGGTGCATCAGCCGCCCCGTACGCCGGACCCCTCCGACACGGGCACACTCTCCCTGGAGCGGATCAATGGCGGAGGTAGCCTCGGCTCTGGCGGCTGTGATAAGGTGAGTCCCCCCAGACGCTTCTGGTGTTGGTAACTACTCCTCACCCAACCCCCCCGCTTCGGTTTGGTCTTGCCCTGGAGTAGCACGTAGCGCTTGGGAGTAGAAGTAGGACAAAACCCACCCAATTATAGACAATCAGCTCGAATCAAATCATGGCCCATGCATAGACCCACTCGTATACCCATCACACCATGCTCCGTGCTCCGTGTCGATTGTTAACCCAAATTTCGTGTTGGGGGAAAGCAAAGAGAGCAGCACCCGCTGTCGCTTTCCTTTATAGATGTTTTTCCTGCTGTTGGCTGTCGGCTGTTGGCTGTCGGCTGTTGTGTGCTGTGGCGTGTGGAGAATTTCCCAAAGTGCCGGGCATGCAAACTCTGTTCGGTGGAACAAACAAACAAACAAACACCTTTGAACCCGTGCAGGGGCAGAGCCTTGGCGGCCACTTGAACTCGTTAACGTGCCATTTAAGACACATCACAGCGGTGCAACGCGGCGTTTCACAGATTGATGATGGACGAGGACCAACCCACACCCCTCCTCAAGCCATCCATCGAAATGCATAGACGAAATGCCCTCTTGACATGCACGGCAACCCGGGGCCGGGGTCCCGTACCGCCAACACGCTACGCTCAACTTTGACTTTCCCCGCGAATGGATTGGATTGGAGGTCGGATCTCAGGCTGGGTTAATCCAGCTGCATTCTCTGCTCTCTGCTCAACCTATAACTCTAATTGATCCATAGCCATACAGTCTCGAGTATAAATGTTGACAATTATCATGTTCCATGCTGTTCTGCCGCTGAATGGAGCCTTTCCCAGACGGTGATTGCTCCATGGCATCTCGTTCAGCCTCGTTCGGCCTCGTTCACTGATCACGTTGCGACTTCCGTGACGTTTTAATAGCACTAAGTATGGCGCATGCGCGGCTTTGAGCACTTGATTTATGGTAGTTACAGCCATCCCCTGTGCCATGGTCCATAAGCGACTGCAAATGAGGCTCAAAACTCTGCTGTTTAGCTCCGCTTCAATCTCAGACAGCAGGCAGCAGCAGAGAGCAGCAGCAGGCAGCAGCAGAGAGAGAGGTAGAACGTGGTAACTCCTCTATGTAAATGGTAGTTGACGTGGTAATGTTTCCCAGAATTCCACAGTGCACTGTGCACTGGCAGCTGTACTGTAAATGGCCAGGCATGACCAGAGCTGGGGTCCTGCTAATTGAAGGGGCACTGGCTCTCTCTCCTCTCCACGTTCCACGTTGGTTCAGCACGAATCTCGGCGAGACATTGCGTGTATCGATTACCAAACACAATGAGAGGCAAGCAGGCAGAAGGCAGCAGGCACACACGGTGTGGTGTGCCACCAACTGGATGCGAAGACACCCACTCACAGTTGGCGGCCGTCAGGGCACAAATTTGCCAAATGGCATCTCGATTATAGCTGCACAAACACACACCAATACAATGGACCTGCAACAGCTGCTTCGTCTGCCGCTGCTGCTGCTGCAGTGCATCATCAGAACCCAGTCACGTTCTTGCCAGGCAATGCGTGGATGCCGCACAGCTGAAGCTGAAGCTGCCACTGCCACTCTGTTGCAATTGTGTGTGATTGAGGAGAGTTCAACGAACCTGTTGCTATTTATTTGCTGTGTTGCTGCTCCTACGTCTGCTGCTCTAGCACCACCACAGCCACAGCCACATCCACATATCCACATCTCTGATGTGCCACTGCCACTAGCTTCTGGTTCTGCCTCTGATTCCGTTTCTGTTGCACATGCGCAGAAGTTGCCCGCCGCCAGCTGGAGGCATAGCTGGCACCACAGTCTATGGGCTGCCATTGTTGTCGCCGTCGCCGTCTCCATTTCAATGCCTGACTGCCCGCCTGCCCGCCTGCCTGGCTGTCTGCCTTCGCATTAGCATATGGATATATAGTCGTATTCGCTTATATATTACGTTATACCCATATGAACACTCGTATTTGTAGCTTCGGTCCAACTTGAGACTGGATTATTTCCTGCCACAAATCATGGCATTCAAGCTCGCACATGGCCAACACTCTCCGGGCTCTGGCTCTGGCTCTAGCTCTGGCTCTGGCCATCAATAATCGAGGATCGCATATGGATCGCGTAATCTTTACACATTTTTCCCTCACGTTGCGACAAAGAAAAATCAATTTGTCTATTGCGCAAGTAAAGCTTCAAGAAACAATAAAAACAAGAAGAAGACATTTTCTAAAAGCTATAAAAATTATTTTTACAACTTCCACAACTAATTTTTAGTGTTTACAAAAAAACAACAAAAAAACCTCCACAAATCCAAAAAAAAGTTGGAAAAAAATGCGTTTTTTACGAGCGAATGGCGTCACAATTGTTGTTTTTCAGTTTTTCAGTTTTTTCAGTTTGCTTTTGGCCAACGAGACACTTTTGTTGGCCATTTTTAGAGGCACAACATTGTGTGTGTGTCTTTCTATCTGTTTCCACGTGGTAGATGAAACTTGGTAATTGCCATTTCCACTTCCTGCTTAAGCCCCCGCCATGTCCGTGGCATCCGTGACATATGCATGTACATATGTATGTACACATTTACATGTACTAGGTAGTACGAGTGAGTGTCTCCATGAATCCATAGATTCCATTTGGTGCTTCGCCTGTCCCGTACGGAACTGTCCATTTCTATAGCCCCAGTTCGGGTGTGCCACACAGTTCTTTGTGGCAGCATGTCGGTGCTTTGGTACCGGTGAATTATTGCCCATGCACACCTGCAACACAACTGCCTGTGAGCCCGCTCCTCGTCCTCCTCCTCCTCCTGCAATCTGCACCTGCCCCAGACCTTCTCCGTGTATCGCGTGCGGATTAAAGCAGACTTATTGTGTTGGACTCCTCGCTCCGATTCGCTCCATTCCACGCCCCTACTGCTGCTGTTGCTGTTGCATTCACTTCAGCTCGAAACGGAGCCGATTTCTGTGCCCAAAAGAGTTCAATGATTTGCTTTTTACACCTCAAATCCGTTTTTCGCCAACAACAATGACAAGATCGTAAATTAATTTCAATTGCTTTTCATTTCGTAGTGGCTATAATTATTTTTCATGCTTTGCTCTTAGCATTCATTCGCTTCAGTGATGCCAACATTTTGGCTCAGAAAAATAAACTATATTCGGCCAAAAATAACAAGCTGCTAATTATGTAAAACTACTTGAAAGTGCAGCTTGGAATAGAAGCAGAGCAGCTCTGGCTATCGTCGATTTTTATCGCTAAACAAAAGCAGCATAAAATAGCTCCCCACCCAGAGCTTCGGTTAGGAATTTATGTACTACTTCAAGTAGTTCACCTAGAGAAGAGAGACGCCCGCCCAGTTTAAAATGGCTGTTCTACTGTCTATTCTATCGATTTTTTAATCGAAATTGAAATATTTCACGCAACAATTGAAACAATTTAACCGGTTGTAGTTATAATATATTTAAAGCTTTCAAAAACAATCCCAAAATATTAAACAATTTGGCACTTACACTCACACATACCATTGGTTCATTGGACACACACACACACAAACACACATTCACATGTACACACACCAACACACACCCACATTCATGCACTCATTCAACGCACATTTAGAAGTTAACTTTAACTTGGATTTTCTGGGCATTCTATCCATGGCAGAGCATAGCATTTATTGTACTTACATACTCGTATGGAGAGCTGCTGTTCATTCCCCTGCCTGTTCAGTGCGTGTGCTTCAGTTTTCGGTTTTTCTGTTCTGTTGTTCTTTGCAGGATTTGTTGGAGAAGCGGATGATTGAAGTGGAAGGCGCTCTGCTGCGTTTGCAGGAGGAGTTCCATAAAGTGAGTATCAAATGGCAAATGCCACGGAGATTCTATGTATGATAGTTGAAGGAGACATTATGATGGGAATGAGGTCCCGGACCCGGACCCGGACCCGTCTTCCTCGACCGGACATTGCTCTCTGAAATCAACATTCAGTTTAATGTCTCCTGTTGTCGACCAAGTCGGGGCTTGGGGTCCGGCTGAAGCATTTTAATTTCCTGTGCGGTCAGAGTGTGAGAGATCTCCGCCCCAGAAAAACACAGAGAGAGGGAGAGAGCGAGGGAGAGGGAGAGGGAGCACACATGGGCATTGGATGGACATGGGGGTCATTAATCGTGTCGTTGCCATTCCAACGCTCTGTGCGGTTTATGTGGTTTTCACTGTGGCTGTGACTGTGGACCGGGTCGCAGCCCAGTCTTAGGTCGCCTGCCCAGTGGGCAATTAAAAGTTACAAGCTTGAATTACATGCATACGAGGCCCCATGTACCCAAATCAAATTGACATCAGAGGCAGCGCCGAAACCCTCTCTCATTCGCTGTGAAAGAACTCCAGCTCCGGCTGGACCCAGCCTGTCGACACCTTTTTGCACAATAGATCAAAACTGAATGGGCGCAAATCTCAATCTAAACTGCCATCAAAATGGATCCAAATAGATCCAAAGGAAAGTTTAATGGCCGGAACTTGGTCGGGCAGCGGAAGGAGCTGCCAAGGAGCATACGCACTTCCGGCTTTAGGTAATTGAATTTGACAACAAAAACCAAAAGGAAAAAACTCCCCCAAAAACGAGTTAAAGGCCCCTGAGTTTATGGTGTGAAAAGAAACAGCGTGTGGCCTAAGCAGCTCCCATCTATGGCTCCAGTTCCAGTTACTCCCACTCCCACTCCCCCAATCTTCCAGCTTCTGGCCAATGATTTCCGCAACGAAATTGCCGCCCGCTGCCTGCCACACAGGAAGCGGCAGAGACACAACCATCGTCGAGCGGAAAAGTACATTCTGGCCATGGCCCTGGCCATTGCCTGATTTTCTATTCTTTTGGCAGGCGTCCCAACTTGCTTTCGAGAATTTACGAGTATGGCAATGGCACTTCCCCATACTACCGCCCCCACCCTCTACCATCACTAAGACTCCTCCTTATCATCGTTGCAGACTCCCAGGCGGAGGTTTCTCTGCTGTGGCTGTGGCTGTGGCAGTGGTAGTGGCAGTGGGGCCCCATGCATGGGAATCCGATTAGTCGAGGCGTATGCGTATATTTTTTCCCTTTTTTCCGCAAGAGAATGGAAGGAGGATGCGGCGGCTGATGTGGAAGTGGATACATGAGCTACCGTTGCCGCTGGCTCCGCCTCTCCGGCCTCTCCAGCCTCTCCTGCCTCCTGTGTGGCAATATTTCTGCACTTTATCTGTCTGTAAATAACGATTAACTATGCTATGCTGCCCCTGCCACAGACGCTCCCACTGCTGCCACTGTCCTTTGGTTTCACTTAGTCAGATTCCCCTGCCCCATAGCCCCCCGCTCCGAGAGAGTGTGTGTGTGTGTGTGTTCTTTATTGTTATTGGCGATGGGATGGAGAGAGAGAGAGAGAGAGAGGGCAAGGAGAGTGGCATCCATTGACAAGTCGAGCCACCAAAAGTGTGAATGTTGCAGAATTGGCCAAGACGAACCAGAAACCCGTGAAGTAGAAGTAGCACATCAGGCAGCAGGCAGCAGAAAGCAAAAAGCAGCAGCAGCAGCTTGTTGGCCATGTGGCAGGCAATAAATGGCACGATTCAATGAATATCAATCTTCTGATTCGGCATGCCTCTCCCTATCCCCATCCTCATCATCATCATCATCTGTTTCTAATTTGAGGGATAGCCTCAGAGTGAGAGAGAGAGAGAGAGTCGGGGGGCGGGGGAGCATTTACTTTAGTGAATTATTTGCGAATCGCAAATGTAATTGATTTGCCAAAGCCCCAGACAAAGCAGAAGGAAGAGAAAATGACTTGGATTATTGTCATCTAATTGATGGAAAAGTTTCACTCCCAATTCCAGCCGATGCTCCAAGTGCTCCTCCAAGGGATTATCCGTATTGTTGCCTGAGTGTCGTTTTCAAGTTCTCTCTCTCTCTCTCTCTTAACCCTTCTCAAATTGCTGACAGTTGCTCTTGTTGGAGTGTTTCTTTTGGTTATACTGTTGCTGAGGGTTTTATTCTCTTTCCTAGATGTTTTGCAACGCATGGCAGGAAGTTTCAATCCAAGAATGTTTTTTTATATTCGTTCCTGATCACTCACCCTTCCTCAGCTGGCAGGCACTAGTAGCGAATGAATCTATTCGTCTAGGGGAAACTTGGCCTGCTCGTATTTGCCCTACTGAAAGCAGTGTATCAAAGCTGTAAAATAATCTACAAGGGTATATCTAAAGCTTCAACTCGCGAAAGCTAAGCTCGTCCCCTTTCTCTGTTGTTTCTCTTGTTGCTTGTGTGTGTTGTGTTTGGTTACAACAGCAGGGAGTCGTGTCGAGTGCTGGATGGACATACCACGGGGTGACAGGACACTTAATCCTTTCGGCGCTGTGTCCTGCCGCACTGCAGCGATCCCTCAAATATTTATATTTGGAATTTCGTATGAAATGTTGCCAAAACAGATGACAAAATGTAAACGAGTGGAATTTTTGTTTGTCTCTGCTCCCTGCTCTCTGTTGTTTGTCTTTAATCAATGGCGATGGGCAAACGTTCATCCGAATCTGGCTTTTTGCTAATGAAAGGCTGATTAATGGAGCCGGGGTCGTCTCACTGAAGTCCCCGAAAGTGGGTATGCCCAGGCATGCCCTGCCCTGCCCTGCCCCCTTTTCGTTAGGCAGCTCTACAAAGGAAGGGTGGGGGGCGGCGTTATGCATTGTCAGGTCAACAATGAAGAGTTTCGCTTCTTTCACTTTGAAAGCACGTGCTCAATTTTTAATTCCAACGCCAGTCAGCCAGCCAGGGAGCCAGCGAGCCTTCATCCATCTCGCTTGCTCGCTCGTTTGCTGTCCCTGTCGCTCTGCCCTTTGATAAATCTGCGCTTTAATAAGCTCCATTGCATTCATCTTCAGAAGAGCAGAAGAAAAGCGAAGAACAAGAAGAAGGAAGAGTAGAGAGCACGAAACATTGAATAGAATAAAGAGAGAACGAACAGGCAGAAAAACTGTCAACTGTCAACTGACGGGGGCCAACAAGGGGGCGTGGACTTGGACGCTGTCTTGAGTGGCACTTGGTCGTTTACAAGAGCTTTTTGCAAGTACCAGGAGGAATACGAAGAGGAGTTCGAGTTCGAGTTAGAGGTGGAGGTGGAGGTGGTGCCGAAGGCGTGGCAAGTGTCCCCAGCATGAGCACTTTTTATTATCAACATCAACATCAGCGTGTGGCCCTCCCCCCCAATACCCATCATTTGCGTTTGCCGACCAACTTGAATTGCTAATAATTCTGTCGCAAACGTTTGATGGTTTACTCAGACGGAAATGAAGGCACCAATGTCGGCTGCACCACCTCAAACTCCAACCAACCACCCGTGGGGAGCCGCTACACATCTCCTGGCAAAGAGCCCAGGAGGAGGTGGTGGAGTGGGTGGAGTATATAGCCCTGTATATAGTATATTCCAATGTTTAGGGTAGGTCAGCCCTAGTGTTGTGTTATGTATATTGTTGTATATACTTATTAGTGCCCATTAATTCTCTAAAAATCCACCCTTTCGCATGCTACCCCCAAAAATGGGTTTGACCTGCGGGACCCTCGATGTGTTTTTTAAACCCCACTTGGATGATGATGATGATTCATGTGTACTACGCCCCCTCAAACCAGCCGAAAAATACGAAATATGAATGTGTGGAAACTACCACCACTATATAGAGCTCTATATACTCGAGCAAGGGTCCCCTTCGCCACCCTCTCGCCAGCTCTCCACCTATCCCAATCCCTCTCCTCACTCCCCGTCACGCTCTGTTGTGTACAGAAAACCCTTGACAAAAAAGTGCAATGCAATTAATTTTTCGCGAAAGTTTTTTGTGGAAAGGGGGGCGTAGAAATGGAAGCTTCACTCACACTCTTTTGTTAAGGCAGTGCTCTCTCTCTCTCTGTCTCTCCCCCGCTCTTGCCAAGTGACGTTTTAGTGTTTGCATTCGACGCAGCAGTCGAAAAAATTCACAATTTGAATGGATCACCCCAAGGAACAGAGCTGCGTCCAGAGTCCCGGGGTTGGTCTCGTCTCCTGCCCCTCGCACATCTGCAGAATGTTTGTTTTCTTGTTTACCCATGGAGGCGGACGCCTGTCTGTGTGTCTGACTGTCTGTCCATCTCATCCTCATCGCTATCCCCTCTTCCGTCTCGGTTCATTAAATTAAAAACGGCCAATTCGTAGTCGAATTCGGAGTAATACATCAAAAATGCTTCGCTTTTGTGTGCTTTGTGTGTGGGAGAGGAGAATGGTACGGTGAAAGAGTGGTGTGGCTGATAGGGAGAGTGGGATAGGAGTTGGCCTGAGTGAGAGAGAGAGAGAGGGGCCTTGTTTGTTGTTGCTGTTTTGTGCCGGCTGTTGCAGCAGATCAGAGTAGAAGAGAGCAGCCAAAAACAGCTGGGTCCCCCACTGCGGCGAATTCGTTCTCTCTTGCGCGCTGCTGCACATCCTCTTCGCCGTAGCCGGCGCCAGAGGGTGGTTTTCCAATGCCGTTATCCCCGTTGTTCGTAGCAGCGTCAAATGGTTGCCATCCGCCGTCGCGACGTACGGTTTTTTCTTGAAAGTTTTTTTTTGTTGTGTCGCTGGTCTTCCTGGAAATTATATCCTTTCTTCTAATTTGAGTTACGCTTTGTCGTTATTTTCGTTTTTTAACCGAAAATTTATGCCGTGCCGTGGGGACAGAGGACAGGACTGAGCTCCATATCCACACCCACTACCCGGGCAGACGCCGCTGTCCGTGCCAGTGCTTGTGTCTGGTCGGGACGTAAAGTAACATTCCACTCTGCTGTTCTGCTGTTATTTTTACGCTTTTGTGGTCTCGAAAGTTTGTGCTTAAATTAAACCAGCAACAAGAACAACAATCATCGGAATAATCCCATTTGGAATGGTACTCGTATAACAAATAGCAACAGAAGCGGACAAGGACAAGGACAAGGGACGAGAATGGTAAGAATCGATTGGGGGATTACTAGAATGCTTTCGGCTGCCATTCTGGGATGGAAGGATGCTTTTCGTCCACCCGCTGCTCAATCTGCATGTTAATTAATAATAAGCGTGTTCATATTTCTCTCCCCCATCTGTCTCCCATCCATCTGAGAACATAGTCAAGCGAGGAATTTCACTTTGATAAACTCCCCCCACACGTCAGCACAAAGGATGTTGTCCAGGGTGGGTGTTTGGATGGATGGGACCAGCGTTACGTCTTACGGAAGTGCGTTTGCGGGTGCAAATGGCCGTATGATGTGCAACCCTGTGTAGTCCGCTTGCTCGCCTTTTTTTATCCCACGACACGGGTGCAACATGTTGCCGGGATTTGTTTGGTTAATTTCTGTTTTGGGTCCGGGGATTACGCTGGGGTTCACGTTCACCCCCCTGAATCACTTTTGGGCCACCCTCGTTGTGGGCCTTATGCTAATTGAAATTTATGCAGAGTTTCGTTTGAAACTCCAAGTATCCATGGTTTCTCCGTTTTCCCTTAATTAATAAAAAATTCATGCTTGATTTTATAACTTCATCAATAAGCACCGCTGTCGGCACCGTTTGTCCACCGCTCCTCCAGAGCCTACTCCTCCTCCTTCTTCCATCACTTTTATGAGCAAAATTCACAATGAATATTTATGCGCGTCGCCTCTTGAATGGGAAATGCGATGGTATGGTCTGCGATGGGGTGTTCTTTGCTGGGCTGGGGACGTGGTGGGGCGATGGGTGCAGTAGCCGACAGCTGCCGACAGGCGCACCAGTTGCCCAAAATAACGCCTTGGGTGGGGAGAACAAAGTGTGAGAGAGTGAGAGAGAGACGGAGAGGCTTAGAGAGAGTGGCCCAACCGTTTTGGCCCTCTAATTTTATTAACACGTTCATCATTCCCCTCCATTCCACTGCCATTTGGCTTTGGCTGGGACAAGTGGCGCCCGAGGACGGCAATCAGTCTGGCCGGGAGCTGGGAACTGGGAGCCGACTGCCGCCTGCTGTTGCTCCAAATAATGTTTAAGGGGGGGCACATTTTCTTATTGGGACTCGTCGGCACATGCATGAAAGCGAATTAATAAAAATTATTGCATATATTTGTAATTCTGGGCAGCAGAAGTCGGGTTGGGTGGTGGGAGGAGTATGGGCCGAGACGTTGCTTGGCAACTTCTTGAATGGGATGGCGCGTGCTGCTGCGTTTTATCGCCGATCCCCATCCCATCCCGTGCCCCTGCTGCCTGGAGTGTTTTATTACAACCCCACCACCCACCCATAGCCAAAGCTGCAGATGAAAGCATTTTAGAAATATTTCCATAGATATTAGGGTGAACAACAAAAGAACTGCAGCATGTCCAAGGAATGTGGGATTGGAGTGGAATCTGGGAATTTCTGATGAATAATCAAATTGATTAATAGCCCAGCCCTGCTCGCCACCCACCCACCTTTTTGTGGCGAACACAGGGAAGTCGTTGAGTTAAATACACTCTCAGCTAAGCAAACATAGAAATCGAACAATCGCTGTCCAATAGCTTAGGACGATTGGAGATGGACCAGTTCGTTCGAGCTTTGCAGCCAGAAATATAGTTAAATTGAGTGTATGTGTATGATATGATATGATATGATATATGTAAGTATGTATGGTGCTTCGTGCCTAACTCACCCGTCACGCGCTCATCTGTGGTGTCTATCTCGTGAGCCAATCTCCGTGTTGCGCTTGCGATGACACTTCAATAATAAGTATTCCGTTTTGTTTACACTTGAAACTGTAGTTGTTGTTCTTGTTGTCATTCATTATGTTTACACTAAGCCAAGCGATTTATAACAAGTGTCCCCCACCGCACCGATCCCCTTCTACGAGTGTCTGTGTCTCGAGCAGTCGTCACGTCACACAGATGAAATCGTCGTGATGTAAGTTTTTATCGATTACAGTTCACGCCAATTGTGCCCCCAAAACGAAGTCAGAGATGGAGCGGAGCTGTGGCTGTGGCTGGGGATTGGGCTGGGGGGGGCAGACAGAGCCGGTTGTTGACTCTGGTGATTTATGGTGCTGCATGCATCAGAATGTGTGTTCTAATGCCTGTCCATGGCCAGTCGACAGGGCCTCCTCTGTTCCTTTGATCCCGTCGCCTTTGTCGCTTTCCAATTTAGCTTGTAAACGGGGGCTGATTGACACTGTGATATGGACAATTAAATTGTCGCTCTTAATCGTCACAAAGTGCACTAATTTATTGTGTTTAATTTCTTTTGCTTTTCATTTAATGTTTTTTCCACATTTTCTCTTTTCATTTTGCCCCTGCCCCTACCACCACTCCACGCCACACCAAATGTACTTTTTCCAGAGCCAATGCGGGTCGCCAACGTTTGAGAAGGAATTGCGCGAGCAAATTGAGAAGTAAGTGTCATACAAGTTAAATTGTTAATCACGATAAGGACCGTGACTGTGTGTGTGAGTGTGAGAACCAGAATTAGCAGGAGAGAGAGAGAGAGGCGAGAATAGTTCCGTTACTTCAACTCAATTCTGGAATGCTTTCTTATGCATTCCATTATGCAATAAATTACTAGCAAAATATTTATTTAATTTGCCCGCCAGACACCCTTTTGCGGCCATTATGCAATTTTGGAATAGTTTTTGCGCTGCTTTTGGCAAAAACTACGTAAATAATTCATACTCGTGACCAGCCACGCCTCCGCCTCCTGGTCAGGAGAGCGCCATTACGCACAGCAAACGACGGGCCGCGGCCGGCCGACCAGAGAGCTAACGGCACCCAAAATGCAATTTTCCAAATTGCCAGAGCAGCGCCAAGGAGGGCAAGGAGAACACGAAGAAGAAGCACAAGAAACAGCAAGGCAGCAGGAAACACTTACTGGCGGCGAACCCATCAATCAGAGCAGAGCGAACCCTCGGCACCCGTGGCCCAAGTGTAATTACCGCTATTCAGATTTGAGCATACATAGTTCTGGTTCTAGGCTAGGCTTCTCCCTCTCTCCGTCTCTACAAACATTAACTGCTAATTTAAAACAACGCTTCAGACACACCCACACACACACACACCTACGAGTACACAGATTCCGTTAATTTTTAGCAATTCGCTTTCATTATTTCTATATTTGTATTTATATTTGTCTTTGTCTTATTCTTTTTCGTTTTCGTTTTCTTTTCACTTGCATCTCCACACCAAACCACACCACACTCGCCTGCTCTCTCGCTCACACCTGCAGCATGAATCGCATTATGAAATCCAAAGAGCGCAAACAAATGCAGACATGTCGGGATCACAAGGCACTGCAGGTATGTATGGTGTATGGTGTATGGGGTCCCTAGTTGGCAGCAGGGAAGAGCGGGGGATGGCTGTCTACACAGCATGTGGAAAATCAATTTGCACAGCGAGAGCCGAGTCAGTCTCCCTCTGCAGCGCCAAGAGGAGTTCCCGAGTCATAAATAAACGCATAAATTCATTTTTAAGAACAAAATCTCTCCCCTTGCTCCCATTCCGGCGCATACAAATTGTCTCTTATCCGTGGAGAAGGAAGATGGAAGCTGGAAATTGCTTCTGGCCCGGCCCGGCCTGGCCTGGGCGCACTTTTTGGCCGGAATTGATTGAACGCGCGCCATGGCATTAGGAACGCTTCATTGAGCCAGGGGCAGGAGAGGTGGCCGAGGTAGTGGGCCAGATGGGGTGATGGAGATTCCTTTCCCTTTACGTCGTTAACTTCTGGCAATCTCATTTGCGTCTCGCTCCGAAACAATCCGATCCGAGCCTAACCCAATTTTGTAAAGCCATCTAATGAATCCAAGGTTTCCCCTCACCACCTCATTTATTCATCCACGCGGTACGTACACAGTTTGGGGCATTCAATGGCTGCAGTGACCTTCGGGGGGCAGTTAACAAGTTGGCTTCGATCAATAGAGATTGGGGCATTCAGTGGTTGTGTGGAGTGGGGACTGGGAATGGGAATGGGGGGTTCGTCTTGTAACTACTACTGCTCACTTAGCACTTTGGATCTGACACTCCACTCTGAAAACTTGATGAACGAGCGGCCGTCGGCGTCGTCGTCGTCGTCTGTGACCCTCGTCAAGAGTGTGGGGCGCCCATGCAGCTGTCATTGGGTGGCACATGGCTGAAGGTCTCCACTGTTGCAGTCACACACTTGATTCATTGTTTCCCCGCTTCTTCTCTTGCAGACGCGCTTCGCCCGCCAGGAGAGTATGCTGCACTCCATGCAGCAGGAGAACCGATCGCTGCTCACCCGCATTCGACAGTACGAGCACTGTCTGGACGACGTGATGCGCAAGGTGGTGGACGCCATTGTGGCCGAGGACAATCTGCGCGAGGAGGTGAGCATGCTGAAGAGCCGTGTGCGGGATCTGGAGGCGCAGAACGCAGCGCTGTCCGCCAGTCCGGTGAAGGGACGGGACGAGGGCTACTGCACAATGAGCAGTGGCCAGCCGCAGCCGTCGAACGGCCACCTGGAGGACCTGCCCGAGGAGCCCGAGCAGTGGCTGCTGCCGGCAGAGCCCTGTTCGACGGAAATGGAGGACTGGAGCATGTCGCAGGAAGAGCTGGCTGTGATGACATTCGACGACGAGCGGGAGCACCACCAGCAGCATCAACGAAGGAAGCGCGACCACGACTGGCTCTGGCCCTCGAGTGACTTCATCAACTCGACCACCGTCGAGACGGATTCCGTTGGCGATGGCATTGCTCAGCTGCTGCAGCAAAAGGTGAGCGGAGTACGCTTTCATTCCTTTGTTTCCTGCATTCTATGAAGGATTTCTCTGTTTCAGATTGTCTACTCGGAGGATGAGGAGGTGGCCTGCACGGATTTCACCAACGACTTCTACAAGCTGGTCAACATCCGTTCCAACTCGTCGCGCAGCCTCTACTCCTACCTCGAGGGCGTTACGGACGACGAGGATGAGGATGACGACGATGAGGCAGACTCGAGCATGTCCGAGAGCCAAGCGGCACACACGGCCCGGGCCGCCGCCAGTCCCACGCCCAGCGAGGCAGGACGCGCCCAGCTGACCAGCTGCTCCTCCAGCGAAACGGACGAAAATTCGATCAGCCACCCACCGCCGCCGCTGCCAACGGAGTCGCATCAGGAGAAGGAGGAAGAGCCTGATTATGCGGTCATTGACGAGTGCCGGCGCCGCGTCAGCGACATCGAGATCGAGGACGTACCGCTGATCATGAGCGCCACGCCCTTGCAGCCCCTCAATGAGCAGCAATGCATAGCGCAGATCATCAAGAGCGAGCTGCGGCGACCGCCCCATGTGCTGGTCAAGTCCAAGTCGGTGCTGGAGGAGCAGGAGCCAAGCTGCATTCTGCGCCACAATCAGCGCCGCGAGCTGGAGTCCACCGTGGTGCGCAGCGACAGCATCAGCTGTGCGCTGATGGCTAAAATGGCAAAAGACGCAACGCCTCCGTCACCGGCGATTGTGTCCAAGCTGAAGGAGCGAATGCTGAACCGACAATTCTCCGCGCCGGCAACTTCGAGCCCCTGGCGCAGGAGCAACGGCTGGAAGCGGGTGACATCCCCGGTGCAGATACCAGCGGCTGCATCCCCAAAGAAGGTGAGTACATCTGCAGATACCTTAATGCATATCCATATCCTAATCTGCGACATATTTGCAGAAGCAAGCCAAGTCAACGGAGCTGCCAAAGAGCTGCCTGCCCAAGGCGGTGCCCACCAGAATTCCAACGAGCATCAATTCATCGACGTCATCCACCTCGTCAGTGTCCTCATCCTCGCCCTCGCCTTCCTCTCCATCGCCACAGTCGCCCCAACAACAACAGCAGCAGCAGCCAAGATCCTCAGGACAGCAGCAGCGCAAGTCGAAAATTCCACCGCCAGTTCCTGTGCGGCGATCCTATGCGAGCTAAGTGGCGGAATGCCGCAGTAAAATCTCAAATGAATAATCGTCAAGCAAACAAATATTCAAAGATTAAAAAGACTAAATTGTGATATATTCAAACAAACAAAAACAAACAAAAAACAAAACACAGAGGAAGATTGGAAGTGTGAAAGTGTGTGGAGCAGCCAGCAGCCAGCGAGTTTTGTATGTAAGAATACGAGTATTTATGTATTGTATATTGTAGATTTTTGGAAAATGTTTTACTTTGTAAGCGGCGGCAGCACTGCCAACTGTTCCCTTACTACCCAATTAGAGGCCCACACCCACACTAGGAGATGCCCAGGGCTCGCCCTGCTCTATGTCTATGTATTTTGTAGAGCATCGCGGTTGCAGGCCCAGAATCGGGCTATAAGTTGCACTAACTATTATACATCACACAGCGTACGTACATACGTACATACATATGTATTTATGTATTTGTATGGCGTACAGGAAGAGGAGTGTAGGATCTTTGTCGCTGGCAAAGAGCAATTCAAACTACTATCATACAACTATTAGATGAACTAAAACCGTAGTCTTCCGCACAAATCGAGTGTATTCGCAGTAGGCATTTGTAGAATCTGGTTATCACACAACACCAACAGTTGGAAATTTGCATTTAAGGGTGAAATATATATGTGTGAAATTGCAGTATAAAATGCATTTAATTACGATATATACTATATACAAGCGTATGGTTTCTAGGCGAACATAAAACGACAGCAGTAACAATAAACCTGTATATAACAGACCACAAAAGTCGATTCAAACCCCCTCTTCTATACGTATAGTAGTTAGCGTTAGCTCTGCTCTGCTCCTCAGGCTGCTGCCATCGACTAAATAATAATAATAATAATCGCAGCAGCCCGCATCCTAAGTATAAATACGTATAGATAGATATACACATACCCATATAGAGAACTCTATACATAGTACTATGCTCGGCAGATCAGAGAAGTTATTGTATCACATTAAGCTCGTATAAACATTATAAATGTATTTTCTTAGCGTAGCAAGTACAAAAATAAACAAAAAAGAAGTTACAAAATATAAATTATTGACCCAAACATGTGTTTCCCTTCCCTTAATCTAATACAATGATCAATCAATCAATCAATCGAAAGATTGGTGGGGTAAAATCTTACAAAACGTAGCGCTCTAAGCATACAATTAATCAATAGCATAAAATTCAAACGAATTACAAACGAACACGATCACTTAAGCCTAAAAGCAGACCGGCGGTTGAGCTTCTGCTCAAGATGAGCTCCAGTTTATTCCTCAGCAGAATAGAGCTCATGCGGAATTCTGGCACGCTGACCCAGCAGCATCTATACAGATCCGTGTAATAGCTCTCCAGGCACGTGCTGGTGCTTGCTTGTGGCGCCGGACTATCAAAATACAACGCTAATCGGTTCTGTCTGCGCTTCTTCTTTAGCACACGGCCACTGCTGCACGATGTTTCGAAATTTAGATTGCGGCACGCAAACATATTCGCCCTTCTACAAAGGTCGCCGCCCGACATCGCCTGAGAACTGCTTTCATTCACGTACACCCAGTTACAGCCGACGAGAGGTGCTCTCTTGGGGTGGTCGACGGACAGGGCTTTCAGCTTTTCATAGTTATCTGGCCGCAGCTCGTGCTTGACCACTTGGTAAGCGATGGACTCGTTGCAGCTAAGCGTGTGATAGGGCAATCGACGCGACTGCATTTGCCACATTGTGATGGCCAGGGAGTAGATGTCCGCGGCGTCTGATAGTGGATCCGAACGTAGGGCTTCGGGGGACATGTACCTCAGGGTGCCCCTGCCATTGTTCTGGCTCTGGCGGGCACAAAACTCACCAATTTTAATGGATGATCCAAAGTCGCAAAGCTTGCAAATGTAGCTGCGCTGGTAGCTGGAATGTGGCCCCATGCTGGTGGGTCGTGGTCCCAGAGCTACCAAAATATTGGTTGGCTTGACGTCCAGGTGCAGCACGTTGTGCCAATGGCAGTAGCGCAGAGCAGCCACAATGTCCAACGTGATTCTGTGCGGCAAAATATTGAAAATATAAGTCTGTAGTGGGCGATGCAGAATCACATACAACACTCTGTGGAATAGCGGCAACGCCAGCGTCTCCAGTATCTGCTGGAGGCATTGCCCCTTTGGACACTCCATGATGACCATTCCAAAGGCAACGGCTGACTCTGTTTTTATGAGACGCACAATGTTCTTGTGATCCAAATTCAGCAAATGCGACTCATTGTGCAGCGTGGACACAGCCTGTCCCTTGATGATCTTCACCGCAACGGAGCGATCTGTTCATAATTCACAGGCAAATCAGTAAGTGTATCCGATTTATAGTGTAAAACATACCGTGATAAATTGCTTTGAACACAGTGCCATATGCGCCGCGGCCCAGCACCTGACACCTGGTGCGGACGGGGGGACCATCCTTGAGCAGTTCATTGCGCTTCGGCGTGGTAAGCACAAGCTCATTTTCTCGACTAGCTACTGAAAATGACCTGCATTTGCTTAGTAATGAGAGATTTTAGTTGATTTTATTTAATTTTCACATTGCTTACATTTTCACGTATAACGGTGCTTTTCGCTTGAGCGCTGCCAGACTGTCGGAGAAAAAAAATTAAACATCGAACTTTCGCGATATACATCGCGCATATTGGCGCCATAAAATAAATGTATTTTTTTGTAAATTTTGATAAATTAATTTTAAACTATTTATTTAATAATGCACACTGTTTCACTTAAAGAGGTCTCATCAGCCAAGCCTGATAGCGAAAATCGTACAATGTATAAGTTAAATGTGAATCGTAATCGATGAACGCGCATGCCAATGATTTTCGAGGCTTGGCTCCTTCATTTTCGGCTTAATACAATACCAATAAATAATATAAAATATGAATGCTGCTGGAACTACATTTTCAAATCTCTACTCTACTGACGCTCTCTGTGCAATTGCTCCGTCTCAGTCCGCAAGATCTGTAAGAGTTTCTCGATTAACATTGGATCTGTGGAGAATCAAACCAATAGTTTGAGCTTACTCGAAATGCGTCCTGGATTTTGTCTGTGATGAGCTTCCGTGCCGTTGGCTCGGGCACTTGTTTCTTCTTAAGGTCGTGGACGAAGTCATTCAGATCCAGGGGCTGGCCGATATTAATGGTAACCTTTTTGCGCCTTTGCAGCACATAGGGTTCAACATTTGGCAGTACATCGTCCATGCCCTCGTGCCACATTGGCAGAATAATGGGCATCTTGGGGGACTCGTAGATGATGCGGCCCACGCCCCATTTCAGTCGTAAGTCCTCCTTCTCCATGTTCACCTTGCCCTCAGGAAACACGTGAACCCACTGGCCCGCCGCGCACTTCTCGATGCACAGATTGATGGCCTCCTGGTAGACACCATAGCCGCGCACAACAGGAATACACTTGCCTGCACAGAAGGAGGAATCCATCGGTTAGTTCTATGAATCAACAGTGAAGGTATCGCCAGTTCGTCAGCTTACCGAACATGAAGAACATGGAGTGGTACTTGTTGGTGAAGCAGATATCGTGGGCAGCCATCGACCAACGAATGCAATTGGTGTTGCATGCCTGACGCAGTGGCAGCATGCCCCATAGGCCGGGGTCATCGAAGCAGGAGTAGTGATTAGAAACGGTCAACAGCGGCACACCTTGGGGGCGCTTCGATATCAGGTCGACCAGCTGTTCCTTGTTGTATACGCGGGTTTTGTTCATGAGCACTGTGGAAAGGCAACAATGACAGTAAAGAGAATCAGTAGAGATCACCATCAGCACGGTTATGTAAAGACAAACAATTAATATGGCACACGCTTGGCCTTAATTGGATGCGAACACAGCGAGAGAAAGGGGCCCGCCATATAACGAAGAGCAGCAGTGATTGCTATTTCTCCGTATGTTGTACGAGGTCGGGGTCAGAGTCGTCTGCTTAGTTCCGGCACGGGCATACTTACTCAGTAAAATCTTGCTAAAGATTCCGACGGCAGTGATTACAAATTGGCTGGCCAGCCACCAAACTCTCGACGGGCACCGCAGCCTGGGAAATATCCAATCAATGTTGTAGGGTATCTCCACGGCCGTGGGCATGTTCATCCGCTGGTCCCTGTCGGACATTGTGGGCGGCTGTGGTGGCGGCTGTGGCCGGATGGGCTGATTGCTCAATACGTGCTGACTAGGGTTACGGGAAGCGGCCGGACGTTGCTCCGTTGTCTGTTCCTCCTTCTGCAGTCCGGCCGTCGATCTCTCATCTGGCACTGGGCGTGTCTCTGGGGCTTGCACGTATTGCTGCAAAATAGTAAGGACAGAATGCTTGAGCAATGTAATGGCAATGGCTTTGGCTTTGGATATGTGGAATGGTGTAACAAGCAAGGCCTTGTGCTAACCATGGAAACCTATTTATTAATCTTATCGGGCTTACGGAGTTGAAAATACTGGAATGCTTTTGTTTTCGTTTAACTCGCCTCACACAGCTACGCATTTTGAATAATATTTTGTATTTTCTATTTGATAGATAATGTGTCAACCGAGAACAGAGTCGACCCCGTACTGAACTTTGTATGGACCTGGCCTGTGTTGTGCCACAGGTCCCCAGCATGCGCACTGGGCACCAGCAGCAGAAGAGGCTGGGGAGGAGAGGATTGAAAGAGCGCAGTAGAACGGCTGCATCTCATCTCGTGGCGGCACAAAGAGCGCGATAAGCAAGGCGGAACACAACACTCACATTGTGGAACGGAACGCTCAAGGTTCATTCGGCTTGCAATTAAGTGTATATTGCGGCCTTCAGTTGATGCAAGACATTTTGTGCGTCGTCTCAATATCGTTCGCGCACATCTGTAAGAATTCTGTATTTGCACAACTGCACGAGCAGCAACCAGACCAGGCGGCGGGAACTTTCAAGTTTAACTGATTTTCGTCTCTACGAAATATCTAAAGTTCAAATACGGAAAAAAGCACTGGTGCGGGCTAAACAACAAGGGCGAGAGAGACCCATACACCTGACACACTGATAGACATAGAGAGAGAGAGAGAAAGAGCAGAGCACAGCAGAGCTACAGTCAAGAGGCCGATTGTGCTCCGGCATTATCAGTTAGTGGCAAAAGTGTTAAACTCAGCACGCTTCCACATAAGAGGTTCACAATGCGCACATTGAGATAAGACACGAAAGCTACATAAGTCGGGCATGAGGTATGGCTTTTGAATAGCGCGCCACTTGTTGACATTGCTGTGCTGTGGTGTGGTGGAGGTGAGATTCGGTACGAAACCAATCAATACCCTGTAAATGCAATAATTCAAAATGCTCCCTTGCCCCCACTTACCCTCGCCGACAAACCAAAGATGCTTTGATGAAGGCCATTTGCAGACGCCAGTGGTACGTGCATGCGTCCCCAATAAAGCCTCCGCGTGGCACATGCCGCAGCACTTCTCACGTGCCTGAAGCGGCACAGATTCGTACACACCGCCATCAACATGATGAATACTACTTATTACGAATGTGATATGTTGAGCAGATTTTTAATTCTTGCACCGGTGCGCACTTTACATAACCGTTTATTTATCCGAATGATACACTTGCAAATTTTGGACTCGACTCTTCTGCTTCGCCAGCTCAGCTCCGCGTCTTCACCCTGGCCAACGGGCATTCAGACCCGAACCCCCTGTGCGTACTGGGAGGGTAACAGAACATTACATGTGCGCATGTTCGTGAGAATTTGTATTGCCAAAAGGGCCGGAAAAGCTGCCAAGGCCGAAAAAACCTAGATAAATTGGAAATTAAATAAAAAAAAACAAGGCCGAATTTCATGGTAACAGCTGTTCGATTTTGCCATTCGAAACATTGTACAGCACTGGCGGGCGCAACCGGTGTTCAACACTGACGCAATTTTGTGCATTTGGAAACGAGACTATTGGTAAAGTTCCATAATCGTCTGGAAATCTGAATAAAAACGGTTTTAAATCGACTATTTTAGAGCAAGGATGTCTCGCAGTGCCCGCCCACTTACCTCAGCACGCGTGCTCCACAAGATTAAGGCGCTGACCACCCCGCAAGGCAATGAAGGATTTGTGGTCAACCGGAATCCCAGGAATCTGGAAAGGCTGCGCATTGCGTACAAGCCCAGCGGCTACCACTTGGAGAAACCAGGTCGTTCCTACTGGCACACGCTCGAGATCAACACCAGCGGTCGTTATGTCAGCGCCGACGTGAAGCACTACGAGAACGGCACCATTCTGAGCGCCAGCACCGCCGAATGGGCCATCAAACAGCAGCTGTATAAAACCAACGACACCTCGGCATTTGTGAATCTGGGTCGTGTCCTAGCACACCGCTGCCTCCAGTCGGGCATCACCGAGATGACGTGCAATGTGGATGCAGTGGCCGGCAGCAAACTTAACAAAATGCTCCAAACCATCCAGGACAATGGGGTGTCATTCAAGGAGCCCACACGATTGGTGAACAACCAGCCCTGGGATGCGTACCGACATGAAAAGCCCTGGGAAGTTTCAGAGCAATCAATTCCTGCGACCCCCTTGAAAACAGTCGAAACCAAATCAAAACAAAAGTGAAAAGCATTTGGGTTTAGTTTTTGTATCGTTGAGAATAAACGTTCATTTTGTTATGCTAATTAAAACAAGTCATTGTTTAATTGATGACTGCGCTTATTCGTATTTGCTCTTAATGTCCTTCCAGAGTTTCTGCAACAGAAAAACAGAGCAATTCGTTAATTTCTTGCTGGTCTTACATAAGAGTAGAGTAGAGGTGTGCAACTTACGCCTTTGTTGATGGACTCGTACAGGGCAGTCGCGGAGACATCGATGGCGCGCTCGAAAAAGAATGTCGACGCGATGATGGCCACGGCGTAGGTGGACGTACGCTTGAACAAGGTATTGTAGATGACCTTCATTTTTGCGAGACTTCCAAATCGAATTTTATTCCTGACAAAAAATAATTACACGCCAAGTACAGCTGATGATGACAAAAGTGATGACAATATGAAAATATCGATATACAATTTTTGGATATTTTTGTGGGATAAATCAAAGGAACTACTTTTCAGAATTCAGACATAAACAACAACAGGTGCATCTCCAAGAGGGGAATCAAAATCAAACGAACTATAATTTTTACCCAATTTTTAACATGGAAAACCGCGTTCAACTAATACAGAAGCCGATATGTTGTTCTACTATCGAAAAAAATAATTAAAGTTACATAGGGGGCGCCACAAACAATCTGCAAAGTAGCGGTTGGCGCGAAATTTGAACTGACTTTGAAAAAAAAACTGACAAGACTCTGTATGGAAGAGACCAGAACGAAACGTGAATGAAATTTTTAATCGATCCCATGAGACCCATCACTTCATATTTAACACACCCAATAAAATCTGTTTACCAATTAGATATGTCAAAATTTCCATGATGGTCTTTGGCCGAATTAAATTAAATTAAGCATTAATCGAGAAAAACACCAACTGACATCAGGCGTGTGACGTACCAAGTGATAATTAGCCCGACTATATCCCCAGATGACGTACCTAGTCCAAAGTGAGAAGTGCTCCCCTCTGTTGAGGTCCGGTGAAATGGAAACGTGCCCCTTTCTCACCTTTCGTCACCCGGGAGCTGGGGATCGTGCCAGCCTCGAGCATGAATCAATCATGAATCAATGCCCAGTCAAAGCTGATTAGCACATTGACGGCTCTGACTCTGATTCCCACTCCTCCACGGAAGCCGGCGATGGTGAACCCACATTACTGTCTCAATTAGAACGAGTGCATTTCCGAGTAATTCAAGGGATTCGATTCTAATGATTCACTTGGTGATGGGAGGTGACTTATGAGAGACTCTCTTGAATGTGCCGGATCAGGTTGAAACCAAAACATACCGAATAAGCCGAAAGCACGCAAATGTCTATTGATAAGACGAGTACAATTTTATTTTGTTTTTCACTCTCTGACATTTGTTGACTTCGGCGTCGGCCTCTGGGTCCGCTTATCGCCAGCCATTTGTCTTATTGCGTTCCAAACCGGCTTTCAGCCAAAAAACTAATTAAATTAAATGAATTGAAATGAAATTCGTTGTGCCAGCCAAAGATCTGTGTGCTCCCAGTCTAAAAATATAAAAATTAAAAAGACCAAAAAGAGAAGCGACAAACAAATGGAGAAGAATAAGAAAGGCGGAGACTATGATTGGATCCGGTGTGGATTGATTCTCTGGGTGGATGGATGGATGGTGTTGATGGGCAATATCGCTAAATGCTATACAATTGTACATATAAATCAGATGCCATTTGCTTTATTTTGGCTTGCGGGGCACCCAACCGGTTGGCCATTGACACGGGGCCCCGCCAAGACTTGCCTTGCCAATCGTGTTCAGCATCTCAGCATCGAGTCTCAAAGCGTAAACGCAGATGGATTCTTGATTCTTGATCGGGTTCTAATCACGTGTGGGGTGAGGGCGGTATAATACCAACCGCCTCCAATAATCATCTCTCTTCAGCATGCCTTTGTCTCCGGCAACAGCAGCAGCATCGGCTCCCACCCAGGCCTGGCCTGGCATGGCCTGGCCAGTTCAGTCAAGCGGCGCTCATTACCATTTCAAGACCCACTCGACCTTCAGTCTCCTCAAGCATGAAAGTCAATTTTTCAAGTGCCTCCAACTCGGTTCGAGCCACGTCTAGTGTGTTGACAATTTTCCAAGCCCGTAACCGATGCTATGCTGAAGCCGAAGCTGGAGTTTAACGCGTCACCAAACAGAGATTTGCATAACTTAAGCAGCTCGCACACATAATTATCTTTAGATTGGTTCCGATTCGTTTTGAGAGATACAAATATCTCACTCAGCACTATTAACCGTTCAGCTTTACGACTGTCTGCCAGTCTGCCGGCTTCCGTGTTGCCTCGCCCCATCACTACATTTTCATCGAAATCTCCGGTTCCCCTCCAAAAAGCCACAATCCTGTGCGTACGCGATTTAGCTCAAATCTCTGGGGATTAGTGCCTTTGATTAATAAGTGCGTCATGGAAAAAGTTAAATTAAAATCAAAATAAATATCAAAATCGTAGTGCTAAATGCAAAATGGCAAATATTTTATGTGACGCATATTCCCAGTTCCGATTCCCGTTCAGGGCTTTGTCTATTTGGGTGAAGGAGCAGCATTTTGACGCTAATTACGTGACCAGCAGCTGCTGTAGGAGAAGCCAATCAAGCCAAGTGCAGGCCAGTGCCAACAATTTGGCAATTTGGCTTAAAGACGTCTCTGGCACCCCGCACCGAGTGGGATACACCGCGATATCGGTAACACTTAACATCGAAAGCGCCAAGTGACATGAAGTGGAGTGGAGTGGCGAGGAGTGAGGGAGGCGAAACCAAAAACAAAACCAAAAACCCGTTCAGCATACAAAAACGTCACGAAGCCAGCAGAGTCAGAGTCAGAGGAGACCAGGGGCCGTCCGTATAAAAGTGAATTTGTGACAAAAATTCAGAACAGTTCAATCGCACGCTCAGCAGCGTTCAGATCGCATCGCATCGCATCACATCGAGAATACGAGTAAAATACACACGCAAACAAATAACACAAGGTGCTAAGCGGCTACTGATAACAAAAAGCAATATAGACATCATCTATCATCAGCGGAATCTAGATCGGCAACAGCAACAGCATTCGGGCAACTGCTAAGGATTTTGTGTACTCTGGGATTTGACACCTCGCGAGTGAAGCCCAAATTGAAATCAAACAAAGTGCAAAAGTGAAGCAGAACCTGTAACCAAAAGCCATAAGCCATAAAATATTACAGCTCAGCTGAAAACCATTTAACGGAAACCCCAAGCCCGCATCAAAGATGTTTGCATACACTTGGCAAGTGAGTATCATAGCGGATTAGTTCGGGGATCGGTATAAAGATCGGAAATTTATGAAACAAAAGAAGCAAAAATTCCAACAAAGAAACGTGTTTAAGCGATTAACATTTTCAACAAACTCAATCAACAAATTAAAGCTGCCAAATACGAGTATATACTATATACATATAATATAGAAATCTATAAGATAAGCTCGCCGAGCCAACGGAGAGCTAACGTACTCTGATTATTTTGCCGCTGGACAAGGCCAAAAGCATTATTAAATCAAGTTATTCTATTCCTTATGCTGTCTTTGGTGGGGGCTTTCGATCTTGTGATGATCTTCATGAGGAAGTGCCATAAAAGAGCACTTTATGGGCTCTTTTTTTTAATTTTTTTTTTTTTTTCTGGTACTGCACTTGTCCGTGCAGTGTTGGCAATCCTGTTGGACGATTGCCTTGATTCGGTTTTACGAAATTGTTAACCCTGAACCACAAAAACCACAAAAACCTCAACCGGTTACAGCACAGAAATGTCAGTCTTCTCCTTTGCCTTTTTGCTTGATTAAAATTAATTTGTTTTGACTCTGTGGTCTGTGGTCCACGGATAAAGTCTTCAGTTTTACATAATCCAATCTCCTTTGATCTGCGACCAAACCAAATTACCATTCATGAATCATAGAAGATTCCTGGATGGCAAAGCGTTTCATCACTTGAGTAGTGCAAACTTTGAATATCATTATGAAATCAATCGAATCGTTTCGAGTAGGATCCGGTTATGGGACTACTGGCGCCTGGATTCGCATGGAATATAATTGTGGTCCCATCGAGTATTCCCATCGGAACATGCTCGATGACGCCTACCAAATTCGAGACGTGCTCATGAATATCTTAGGTGCGACCATAAATTAAATTTGATTGCGGTTATATCATTGATACGGTGGGTCTGTCCCCGTCCCCCGTCCCTGTCTCTATCTCCAGCTGTTGGGTTAATTTAAATTAATTATTGTATGCTAATTCACAGCATAAGCTCGCAGATCAGAGCCCTGTCTAGGCTGTCCGGGGTAGACAGGTTCTACTTGGCACCGCTGGCACCGCTTTGTTCTGCCTGGCCTCCAACTGCTATTCACACCTCCACATAAGACACTAAACTAACTTTTCCTCTGTCTTTCCTCTTCCGCAGGCTTCAGCTGTGATCCTACTCATGGCGATGGCTCTGACTGCCGCCCGGCCGCAGCTGCAGGAGGTGCCACATGCGCTTCTGGACATCGAGGCACCCAATCAGTTTAGCTACAGTCCATCGCCGCTCCAGCAGCCGGACAGCCTTAGGTCCAAGCCGTATTTTGACTTCCTGAGCACACTGTATGCCCACGACACGGCCAAGTCGAATCTCTTCCGCCCGTATTCGGGACGTCCGCGTCGCGATGTGCCCAGCCAGAGCCACAGGCAGGAGCGCCAACGTCGCGCAATCGTTTTCCGGCCGCTGTTCGTCTACAAGCAGTCGGAGATCCGGAAACAGGAGATCAAGGACAGGAACGCAGAGCGACGCATTGATGCCAATTTACGCCGTACCGTCCGTCTGTAGTAGGCAAACCATTAGGCAAGCCAGCAGGCAACCAACCAAGGATATGCCATGTCCATTGGTCTACTACAGGGTCCTCTAGCACTAAGCCTCTATTGTGTCCTTAGCGTTAAACATAGCCCAGCACACAGCACACAGCACCAAGCACAAAGCACGATGAGCGGAAGAGCAATCATCCATATATACGTATAGTAAACACCATTCGCACCGCCTTCACCACCCACCACCCACCACACCCACACCCACACCCACACATCCGCGTAGAATAAGTCCCGATACATTTGTTATACATTTTTGTTACTGCAATGTTTTTTGATTAAAGCTAACAAAACTGATTTTGAAACGAACTACGTTTGCCGTCTGTCTTACTCGCCCCACACAATGCTCTCGATCCAGTCCGTGTAGAGGTGCACCTTGGTGTAGACACTGGGCAGGCCCTTCTCGCCGCACACCAGGCCATACGAGGTGATGCCAATGACCTGCTTGAGGCACGCGAAGGACGAGTGCTGCACAAAGACGGGCCCGCCAGAGTCGCCGTAGCAGGTGTCTGCATTGCTCGTCCGAGAGCCGGCACACAGCTGGGTGCGTATATCAATGTGGTGCTCCAGTCGCTGGCTGCACTGCTCCACGCTGAAGCGCTCCAGGGTCACCTTGAGCAGGTGCGAGGAGGATCGTCCGCCCTCATTGATGGCTCCCCAGCCAGCGGCCGTTAGCTGGAGATGCTCGTTGCCGCTGGCGGTTGGCAGGCAGGCAGGCGCCACATACTCGTTAAAGACTGCCGCACTGTCCAGCTCTACGAGGGCAATGTCGTTCTTGCGGTTACCGTTATCCTCCTCATCGTAGGAAGGATGCACTACATAATTGACCACCCGGAAGTCCTGAGGCTGGGCATCGTCCGTCTCGTTCTTGTAGTCAAGTTCTCCCAGCCGCACAACATATTTCGGTGAATCGAAATTGGGATCCAGGCGCTCCTCCTTCTTTCTACAAATCAGTGGGATCAGAGGGACGCATAAGATCAGCAGAAGAACAGATCTCTGATGACACTCACTCGTTTGTCTCCAGGCAATGGGCGGCGGTGAGAATGAACTTTGGATGAATCAAAGACCCCCCACAGTGCCAGTCGATAGTCGCACTTCCCCTCTGACGTTGCCCGAGCAGGGCCATGAAGGGAAACTCTCGGCCAGCGGCCTTCGTGCCGCCCACAATTAATGGAGTGCTGCGGCATGAAGCCCTCATCTCATTGAAGCGACGACATTCTGTTTTGCCAGATATATTGAATGGTAATATGTTTATAGAAAAAGAGTAGCCGTCCATCCATTCTCACCCTTTTCGAACCTCCTGCTGCTTTCGACCGGATTCAGGTTTTGGTTCTGGATTTGCTTATCCAGGGGCAGGGGACAGCAAATGATGTCGTTGAACTCATCGCAGTACTTGAGGGCGGACCCAATGGCGTTCAGGTTATAGAAGACTGACGGACAGTCAGTCGCAGTCAAATCCTTGCACTCGCCGGTTCCGTTATCGCACAATTCGGCCCTAACACTTGGGACTGTTTTGACTGCCCAAAGCAACAGCATAGCCTGCAGCAGAAGCAGCATTTTCGCTGACGGCATTCCAAAAACTGATCAGATACGACGAATGCGCGACACAGAACACAAACATGATGATAGTTTGCAAGGCGATAAGCGGTCGAGGTCCCAGCTTCGTCTGTTCGTAAGAAACGAGCCGAGCGAGCTCAGGACAGCTCAGCAGATGCGCACAGTGGGCCCAGTGCCGAATCAACCCCTCAATCAGGCCCTGGCAACCATCAATCTGGGGCCTTCCTTTTTTTAACGCCAGCCCCGGTATTTTTTCATTTGAAAAAAAAAACAAAATTTCAACAAATTTTTCTGTTAGGCGGAAGCAACTGCTATTCCGGCCCTGGACCTATTCCCGTCGTCAGACTTCGTATTTTGTTGTCGCTCTACTCGACCGAGGTGACGAAGCCGTCAAACGAAAATTGTTTTTTGGCGTTTAATGTGTGCTGTGCTGTGAATAATAAGTGCTTTCGAAGATATATTGTAAAAACAGATATATTGTATTGTATATTGTAAGTACTTACAGAGAATATTAGTAGTTTTACGAGTCGTATCTTTTTTCATTTTTATTTTCTTTCAGGATCAGCAATATCATGCATAGCCTCGAAAGCGTTTTTTATGCATATAACGACGCACAGCCGTGTGTCTACTCAAACCTGCAGTTTAAAAGAGCCGTCCAATTTTTAAATGAAAACCATTTGGATTATTTGAAGAAAGGGAAGGTGTATTTGGCAAATTTGCATGATTTGGCTGGCCATGGCCCATTATTTTTGGCGTTCAATGATTATCATCTCCTCTCCCAATCAATATTTGTCGTGAGCGCTGGAAGGTGCTGGCTATCGCTTGCTTCAAAGCTGATGGAAGTTTATTCCGTTTTCTTAGTTTACGCGTGGTGCCCATACAGCCGGAGACGCTACCGAATGCCCGTTCCATGCTGGGCTCTGACATTATAAACAAAGAGATAAACAAAGTCCTGAAGAAGATTGAAGACATGGACATGGGAAAAAATTTGTTGGCAATTATTTGCGATGGCTACATAGCCAACCATTTAGCGGCATGCGTTGCCAACCTGAAGTATCCTGTCTTATGGGACATAACCCACCTAACAAGATTATTCTGTGAAAACAAGATTTCACCGTTTGCAGATGAGAGTACTTAAACTGTTGTACGACCCAACCTTCACGGTTGAAAACTGGAAGGACATATTCAGTAACTTGCCAAGCTTGATCAACACAGTTCCGACGAAGTTCCTAACGTACTACCCTTCAGAATTGACGAACCTGCAAAAATTGGTGGAAAAATACTTTTCATGTATACGTGAAACTGGAATGGCATTGCAATTAAACAAGGCTAACTGTAACCATTTAGAGACAACTGGGAATGCTGGAAATATTATAAATTTCGCATGTCACATGGGAGAACCAACTGAATTTCAAGAGGATGCCCTCCTTTATACAACCCAGCTTGTCGGAGCACTGGCACTGCTTGGAGAGAACTAGCATTGGAGGGAAGAGCATTTTACGATTGCGCGCCATTGCGCCATAACATAAGGGCGAATACTTAACATAACATAAGACGAAATCGTATCTAACAGGCCAAACAAAAACGCGTCAAAAAGGAAGAAGAAAAATCGAGTACTAGGCTTTATCGCACAAAACTACCGATATTTATTTGAACTAACCCTGTACATCGATAAGAAGGGTACAAATTTACCCGCTACCCGCATTGACGTAATACTGTTTTAAAATAAAGTCCCATTACCCCTGATTCTGTTAATTTTATTATAAAGTAACACAAGTATATTCGACAGTCTAAAAAAATATTACCTTGTATGATATATATCGATATATACTGACCAATATATATTTAACATCCACCCTACATGTCGCAGCCAACTTCACTTCAACGCGTTCGGTTTTTTAGGCCATTTATTTATTCGCAATTACTGCGAATGTAAATCTGAATTGTGGAGTTAATTTAGTGTGCACGAGTGCAAGAAATAGCAATACTTCAATCTGGAGACATCTTAAACGCGTGCGCCCATTGAACGACAGCGCATTTAATTTTCTTTCGCGTTTTTTCCTTATTTTTTCGCATCATCAGCCCCCGTCGGTGTGTTGGTGCACGCGAGTGTGTGTGTGTTTCTGCCGCCAATCCAAAACGGAAGCGTAAAAATGGATGTGGCTAAGCTGGATAAAATGAAGGTGGTAGACTTGCGCAACGAGCTACAAGCGCGCGGTCTGGACACCAAAGGAATTAAAGCCGTGCTCATCGAGCGCCTCCGGGCACATGTAGAAGGTGGTGGAGCCGGCGACGGAGGTAAGTTTGTGTGTATGCATTGTCTGTCTGTGCGCCAGTGTGAGTGAGTGGCTTGCCGCGTTATATTCCTGTTTCTGTTAGTGTGAGTGCCTGTGGCTCAGCGTGAATTTGTGTTGTTGTAAGTTTTTCTTATATAATGCACGAATCTTACATTGCATTTTCATTTCCATTTCCATTTTGAATTGTCACTTTTGCATCGCTGCCACATTTCCGCCACCGCCACCAGATGGCGCACCAGTCACACCAAGCCGACGTCAGCGTCGCACGCGCTCAATGTCCCGCTCTCCCTCTCCCGTTGCAGCTGCACCCGTCGCCACAGAGCCAGAGCTCGAGACCCTGGAAGAGGAAGACCAGGCAGGAGAAGCAGCCGCAGACGCCGAGAAGCCGCAATCGGACTCGGACCTCGAGGCCGAGGGCGATTCAGCAGAGCCGGAAGGAGAAGACACAGTCGAGTCCGAAGCTACCAATGATGAGGAGAAGCCACAATCCGACGAACCTGAGGCCAAAGACGAGCCAGAAACAGAGGAAGCCGATGAAGCGACTGCCGAAATAGGCCAAGAAGCTGACGAGCCGATGGAACAGGCCGAAGACAATGCCAACAATGGCAACGAGGAGGAGCAGCCGCTCCAGGCAGAACAGGCTATCCCAGAGGAGACCGCAAGAGGTCCCAGCTGAGAAAGCTGAGCCCCAGGCAAACGGCGACAGCCAGAAAATGGACGTCGATGAAGAGGAGACCTCAGCTGCCCCCAAGGCCGACGAAGAACAGGAAAAGTCTGAGGATCAGCCTCATGAGCGTCGCAAACGTTCGCACAGTCGGTCGCGCTCCCGCAGTGGCTCCCGCTCTCCCAAGCATCGCAACAGTGGCGGAGAGAAGCGCGAGCCCAAGCCCGCTGCCGAGGAGCGCACGGTGCCGGAGGATGAGCCCACTATCGAGGAGAACAAAGTTGCACTAAGCTGGCGTAAGTATTTTGTTGTCGAATATGAGAAGTATGCCGGGTATAGTACAGTCATCACATCTCCATTTTAGTCGACTCGGACTTGCATCTTCGCATCGATCCGACCACATTTGCTTCGGCCAAGCCCCTGACATCGGAGATTTATTCCCTGATTTGGTCTGGAGCTCGTGCCAGCTACGGAGTGCGCGAGGGTAAGGTCTGCTTTGAGGTGCGCCTCGCTGAGGAATCGCAACCGGAAAATTCGCATCATTTCCGGGATGAGCCGCATGTGCGCGGCTTTCGCGTTGGCTTCTCGAAGCCAACGACTTCGCTGCTCTTAGGCGAAGCCGAACATTCCTTTGGCTACTGCGAGACCGGACGCAAGGCCAATGAGAGCGAGTTCGTAGACTATGGCAAGCCCTACCAGTTGGACGACGTCATTGGATGCTATCTGGATCTGGAGAGCGAGCCGTGCACAATCAAGTATACCCTCAATGGAGAGGACCTGGGGGTGGCATTTGAGTTCGAGAAGAGTATCCTGGGAGAGGGGGAGGCTCTCTTTCCGCACATAGTGACCAAGGGCTACGAGTACTCGGTGAACTTCTCGGATGGCGAGCAGCTTCTGGTAAACGCCGAGAGGCCAACGCGCAAGCGCCGCAAGCATCGCAAGGAAGAGGACAAGGACGACGACAAAGATGACAACGATGGCGAAAAGTGGAAGGTTCTGGACGAGGCCACCGCCGACGACGATGAGGTCGAGAAGAAGGATGATGATACCAAGACATCTTCGGAAAAGGCCGATGAGGAGGACTCCGATAAACCAGAGAAATCCGAAGAGGAAGAAGCGGCACCAAAGGAAGAGGTTAAGGCAGAGGCAGAGGTCCCAACTGAAGATGCTGAAAAGAAGCCAGAAGCTACTGAAACTTTGGAGACAGGTTGGTGGCATTCTTCCCCTAGATATAACTGAGATAAAACCAAATATTTTGAACACATTTTGCTTGCAGCTGAGCCATCCACTGAAGCCTCTGCGGAGCCAGAAGCAGTTTCGAATGGCGATGCCAACGCTGACAAGGCCAGCGAGGAAGCACCAGCAGAGGATCAAAAGCCCTCAACCGCAAATGATGAAGAGGATGAGGACGGACCCTCGCCCAACAAGCGCATCAAGACCGATGAAGACTCTGAAAAGACGGAGACTGAGAAGGAAAAGGAGAAGTCACAGACGCGTGATGATGAGTACGAAGAAGTGGTTCCCGAGCCCAGAGATACAGTCGCTCTGCTGCCGGACTACGTGTTGATTGGCCTGGTTGCTGTGGAGCAACTGATTGCCGGACCACAACGCGCCGGTTCACGCAAGGAGTGCGAGGTCATTCTTCTAGTGGGACTGCCCGGTGCCGGAAAGACCCACTGGACACACAAGCAGGTGGCAGACAATGCTGACAAGCGTTACGAGGTCATCGGACCCGATTCCATCATAGCCAAGATGACGGTAAGTCTTACAAGTAGTTGGTATACCAACTAAGATTATCTATTCAAATGGTGGCAAATGCTCATCCATTCCGTTGTCTGCTTAGATTGATGGCGCCTCTCGCAAAACGGTGCACAAGGGCCGTTGGGATAAGGTGCTGGAGATATGCTTGAATAGCCTGGGAGCCCTTGAAGATATCGCCATGAAGCGGCGTCGCAATTTCATCCTCGATCAGGTAAAACATACAGACACCCCACAGACACAACCTCCCACACACACACACCACACCTAAACACAAAACACACACACACACATACAAGATTACACAGAGAACAACGAACGATACAAAAACAA